CCCCAGCATGGTTTTTGCGTACATTTATTTCTCTCCCGCCACTCAGACTGGGGAGAGGGGGCCTGGTGACAAGGCAGGGGAGGCAGTCTGCAGAGAGCATCCCTGGGTCCCTGCCACGGGATGTGACAGTGGGGTGTGACCAGCTGCCCACCGCCCACCCTCTGAGCGGCCAGTGTCAGCTGCGCCCTCCACAAAGCCTTTTTGTTTGGATGCCAGGCGTGGGGCCCTCTGATCAACACCCTCCTCACGTCTCGGCTGGACGGAGGACCTGTTGCAGAAACCCACCCACCCCACCCCACCCCCAACCTAGGAGCCTGGACTCAGCTCAGGGAGGATGAAGCTGTGAGGGACTGGTGGCTGCTGGACCTGCCCTGGCTGGGCCTGAACCAAGCACGGCAGCCAGAGGAGGTGGCTGGGTCCTGCGCGTCCTGTTTGTGAATGTGATTTTGAAAACAGATACTCCTGCTTGTACAGCAGGAGCGATGCTATGAGGCCACGGAATGTGTATGCCGGGGACATGCTGAAGGGGCAGGTGGTGGGTATCCACTTCAACAAGAGCCCCGTGGGTGCAGTGTGTGAGGCATTGGGCTAACTAACCCCAGAGGCTGGTGGTTCGAGTCCACCGGTCGCACCTTCGGAGAAAGACGAGGCAGTCTGCTTCCGTGAGAGTGTACAGCCTTGTTCTTCTCTACTCGGTAGGGTTGCTCTGTGTTGGAATGGTCTCTACAGCAAGGTGTTTGGTGCTTGGATTACCAAACAAAATTTAAAGTCCCCTTTGGGGAAGACGATACACAGGCCGTCTAGCGATGACACTTTGTTTTGCCCTCCTTGCGGATGGTGCACTTCTTCCTTGTGGTTGTGCAGACAGCCTCGGGATGATTTCGCCTTTTGTGTCCCGTTGATAAACATCTTCAGTCTTCAAAGGGCCCTGGACGTAGGACCAGGCAGCTCTGCCACTTGGTGGGTGGCAGAGGGAAAGACAAGCGGGCTTTCAACCCGGGGCTTGGCCAGCTCCAGCGAGGCGTCTGTCTCTTTAGATTTCAGCTGCTGTCTTCTTGAAGTTGAGTTCCTAGGCCCGATTTGGGGGTGGGTGGGAGGGGGCATAGCACTGGGCTCCCTGTGTTGGGCGTGAACTAGAAAGTGGATTTCAACCTGCTCCTCAGTTGAGGTGTTTGCGCTGCCCCGGGGGGACCTGGAGCTCCCTTGCTGAGGTCATAGATTTAGATGTGTGTGCACGTGTGCCAACTTTTTCCGAGCCCCGGAGGAGGGCTGTGGAGTCGCACCGCTCCCTCTTAATCCCCAGCACTTACGGGTACTTACCAGCGGAGCCATGTCCTCAGGGAAAGCATTCGCCAGCTCACACGTGCTGACAGGGCGCACGGCCCAGGGCAGAAAGAAGGATGCTCTGTTGTGTTGAGTGGAGGGCTGGCTGGTGCGTCTGGAGCGGGCCTCGTGGTATAGTGCCCTCCCCTTCCTGCCCCCATTGTGGTGTGGGCAGGAGCAACAAAAAGACCCAGCGTGGCAGAGAGGGCAGAGCCACCTGG